GCAGTTTTTAAACTGTCATTTGTGCAATAAATCTATCTAGAAATATTCAAGGGGAAATATTATCTTTAACATTTATTCCCACTTATTAGAATGTGCTGACTTGATAGAAAATCTTTGCCTAAATCTGAACTGCAAAAGGGAAGGATCTTAAGATGCATTTTAAAGTCTTTTGCTTATCAACATCCCTTAAAATGAGCTTACAGTTTACCACGCCTTTGCAACATGGTTAAGAAGCTGATTCACTTTTATTAGAAACTTGCCCGGTGTATTTCTGAGTCTATGTTTTTCTTTGGATTTCAAAGGGATTTTCTTATATTCATCCAAGAAAGGATATAACTGAACACAATAATCAAGTGAAAAAGATAAACTGAGCAAAACTGTCAGTAAAAGAGCATATAACGTTTAAATTTTTTTTTTGGTCTTAGGGAAGAGCATCACGTACAATGGAATCTACACAGTTTGCAGCACATTACTAAAAGATGCCAAGTACTGGCAAAGTTATATGGGATTTATACTATCCAGAAAATAAACAGAATAAAACAAAATAGGAAAAAATACTACCTTTGCAGAGGCATGATTTCACAAGCCATTCTTCTATACAAATATACAAGAGAATCTCACGACTGTCTCTTCCACGACAAATTTGGTCGTCTGTACAGTGAACGTCTTCCTACAGTGGCTGAGCCGAGCCTGGGGTGTGAGGCTGCACCTCACAGCCGGAGCAGCAACTTGCTCTGCAGTTAGCCAGTGTACTGCTGCTCTCAGCTTCCAAACTTCTTCAAGCAATGCTATTTTATTGGCTGTCTCTCTACATTTACACTGCAGTCCACTTTGACCTTTTGTTCCAGGGAAGCAGCTGAACCACCCAGCCAATCAGAGTTGCAGCTGCTGCAGTGCTAAAGGCGCACCTCCTCCTCCTCCTCCTGCTCCAGCTCCTCAGTGGGCTTGCCTAGTTCTGGTAACTTGAAACTTTACTCCAGGCAGTTCCACAGACAGGCTTGTCAGTCTGGGAAAAGCAGCCAATAACTGCAGCAAGAGTGAAGAGCCCCTTACGTCTCAACGTTGCATAGACTGCCAGCAAGGAAATCCGTTTGTCAAGGAAAGACAGTGCCTCTGACACTGAAGGTTTCTGTGGCAGAAGGCAAGAACCAGGTTCCGTCCCCTTTTTTTTCTTAAAACAAAACAAAGCAAAACAAAACAAAAACACACACTAGCTTTGGAAGGCACGATACTTTTCTAGAAGGAAGGCGTCCTTCTCGACCCTTGCCCTACCCACATTTATTTCCTGCTGATGTCTGTTTACACTGCGGTGGTTTCTAGTCATTGGTGACATCACCCAAGGCACGTCGCTCCCGTTTCTGGGGAGAATACGTGCCCTAAGACTCTTCCCAAGTCCTTAAGGGTTTAAAGCATCTATTTTCATGGAAGCTATTTTAACTTATTATTTCTGCATTTCATTCTTATAAATTGAATGTGTTTATTTACATAGTCATCTTCCTTCAAGGTCAAAACAATCTGTGGTTTATTATTTATTTATGTTTATTTTTACAAGTAAAATAAAATCAATTTTTCCATAAAGGTTAAATGCCTGTGAATTATTCAGCTTTCCCTTACAGTCTCTCCATAAGGATTGAATACTAAAGTGTTATTTTTAGGAACATTAATTGCTAATCCATATATTTCACATACTGCAAGAACAATAAGTAGAAATACATTTGAATAAGATTTCTTTAACATTACGAGAGTTGCAAAGTTACAACACAGCCCAGATCGTTGACAGAGACCAGAGAGTCCATGGTGTCCAGAAACAGTGGAGGCTTTTAGGTCCTCCCTTGTATTTTTTTCCCAAAGTTTTTACAGACCACTCATAATTCTAAACTTAGAATACCAAGTCCCATTGTGAGATACCTCCTTTCCTTTGTTATATCTGCTAATAACAAATTTTTTCATCGCTTGGCTAAATCCTCTGTTATATTTTTGAAAATGGATTAGTCATCCTGAAACTTATTATGATGGAATATCGATAACTAAAATCAGCCTTTTAAATCAATAGTTCTTTTAAGTTCAAAAACTCATTTAAATTGAAATTGTCAGTATGTTCTTTCCTTGATTCTAGATTTAGAAATTCTAATTTGATTCTCCAGTAACAATAACTTAGTTCTATATATTTGCCTAAGCCTTTTGTTTTTCAAAATGCCTTTACATCTTGCTTAATACATCAAATAACTGTTACAAGATTACTTACAATAGTTAATTCATAGATTATATATTATATATTGTAATGTATCTACTTTATTGATGAGTAAACATGATACTAGAAAAATTAAGTAATTTGTTCAAATTCACACGGAAAGTTAGTGGCAGAACAAAAACTGGATTTAGGACTTCTCATACCTATTTCAGAAACTCTTTGCTATACATCATAGCGCTGCTTCTATTCTATAAGAGTTTTTAAAAATTATTGTAAGATACAAATATTTTTGAAAACCGGTAAGATTTAATTGACAAGTGAATTCTGAATTTTGTGAACATGTCAGTACTATATGGTTAAAGTAGACATAAAAGAAAATGATCAACAATAAAGGACTCAGTATTACAAAAAAAATACATTAAATTGAACTATATATCCAATAAATAATAGAGGTAAAATATGGATGAATAGAAACATTCAAATTTTAACATCTGATTTCATATATATTTCTTGATAAATTAAGTCTTCCCATTGACATTCCTCTAACATACCATATTACATATTTACAACGTTAATGGTTACTTTGTAAAAATCACCTACCACTATAACTCAATAATTACATGCCTTTTCAAGTCTCTATTATTTATTTATAACAAACTATCCTTTTTTGACCTATTTTCTGGACCTCCTGGCCATCTTTTATAAATTTGTACCTGGACTGCAGTCCTTTCTCTCTACTCCACCCACTGCCAGAGCCCTTGGTCATTTGAACACCTTTATTATTTCTATTTCTAACATCCTTGCATCAGTTCCTCACAGTCAGGTAGTCGGGAGCACCATTTCACGACTCTGCCAAGTTCTTAACTTCTCAAAATCTGATATTCTCTTCTTGTACTACATTTCCTCCTCACTAAACCTGTTAATGTGTATCACTCGTAACAGCTGATACTTCTGCCTCCCCATTTCCTCCACATTTTCACTTAGTTCCCTATTTAGCCTCGACTCTGTTTTTCAATGCCTGCAGATGATAACCTACACCCAAACCTGAAATGCAGGTTTAAAAAGGCAGATTCCTAGCTTTCCTCAGCAATTAGTTATTTCTAAACTGGGTTCACTAGCATCATCTGCTTTACTCTGCATAAATTCTGCCAGTTGATTTCTCTATTGCCAGGCTGCTAAATATTGCAAAAGACTGTCACATAACCCTGACAACTCGTTACACTAAAAATCTGTGCTATTAACCTCAGCCTGAACTGCAATACTGTGGGGCAACGTTTTTAGTTATCTTTCACTGACTTTTCACCTATACCCTTAGCAACTGTTACAAATCTTCAGTGCCACAAACCTGAACGTCTCACAGTCACTAATTACTTCACCTCCTAATTTATACAGAAAATCAAGATCATCAAATGTGAGTGAGGGCTTTGAGTCTTCACTGTGCCACTTAAATCCCCCAACCTTCAATTTTGCCTCCTTCTTTTTGACTTCTTCCTAGCCTGGAAAAAAGAGTTTGCACTGGTAGGACTCAAGTCTCTTATCCATGCATTTGATCTCATCATTTCCTGCTTCTTCTGGAAAAAAGTATGATCTCCCCTATATCTTAAATCTGTCCCTCTCTACCTGCTTTTTCTACCTTCAAGACAGGCATCTGAGTAAGTGTTCCCTGGTCTAAAAAAACTTGCCTTGACAGTCCTACCCTCTGGCACTGCAGAGCTATCTCCCTCCTTTTCTACCGACAAACTTCCCCAAAGGCTACTTTGGCTGCTTGTACATTCTCATAAATTACTTACTTCTCCACCCTATGCCAACAGACTTTTGACCTCACCACTCTTCTAAAACTGCTTTTTAAGATCATCAGTGCTCTTCTGGCTGTAAATCTAAATGCCTTTTCTTAGATCCCCTCCTACTCTAACTTATCTGAAACACCTTCAATTTTCTGAAAGTCTTTGGCTCTCTGATCTTTCCCGTGAATCCTTCAAACCCCTTGGTTACTCACTCTCCTTTTATTTCATTTGTCTTTCCTCCTCTCTTACTCCCCCCTCCCCCCATCCCAACCCCATTAAATACATGCTGTCTATTAGGGCTTAATAAATTGGGCTCTGGAATAATGTCCCTGGGTACTAGATCCTGACTCCACCACTGACAGGCTATTGAAACTTGGTCAGATAGTTTAAAAGCTCTGAAGTTGCTCTGAGGAATAAATGAGATCAAATATATACAGTGAAAGCTGTGAGAACCGGAACTCAACAGGACTGCTTTGTTTTTCTGGGTCTCACAAGTTTTCTGCCTTTGACAGGGTGCAGTCTTACCACTTTTCTATCGCTTGTTTTAGTAGAAAATGTTGAGTTTTCCTTCCCTGACAGGTTTCTGCCTTACACAGGTTCTGGCTTTCACAGGTTTTACTGTAATAAGTGCTCAATAGTTATTACTATTACCATCTTAATCAACACGTTGACATTGTAAAAATCTAATGTCATTCTCCTCCTCTTGGCTCCTCTTGTCAATAACGTTATTATTCTCTTTATGAATCAGATTCAAAACATGAGTCATCTTTTCCTTCTTCCTCTCCTCTCCCTAACCAAATCTGCTGATTGCCCTGCCATGTCTCTTTAATCAGTCCACCTTAGTCATCTATACTATTACAATAATCTTCAAAACGATCTTTCTGCCTCCATTTACCCTATCTCCAATGCATACATTTCATTATTAGAGTGAATTTTCTACTGTGATTGTGATCTGGTCACTCAATCCTCTACTCAAAAACTTCAGTAGCTCCCAACTACCTCTTAAATAGAGGGCCGTGGTGGTTCAGTGGTAGAATTCTCACCTTCCGTATGGTAGACCTGGCTTCGATCCCCAGCCAATGAACCTCAAATGCAGAAATCATTCGTCTGTCAGTGGAGGCTCATGTGTTGCCATAATGCTGAACAGGTTTCAGCAGAGCTTCCAGACAAAGAAGGACTAGGAAAAGGAGTCTGGCAATCTACTTCCGTAAATCAGCTAATACAAGCCCTATGGATCACACAGGCCTGATCTGCAACTTATCAGGGGGATGGCATAGGATTGGGCAGCGTTTTGTTCTGTTGTGCATTGGGTTGCCATAAGTT